TCTATACTATACCATACTATATTATACTATACTATAATAAACTATACAATACGATACTATACTATACCATGAACTTTCTTGACTCCTTTCACGAGGAGGACGTCTCAAAGACTGCGTCTGCATAAAAGTCACAGGAGCCGAAGAGAGCCAGGAGTCGTATTCTGAGAAATGCTTCCTTTCAACATGCAAGTAATGCCAGTTCAGTAATGGGAAGGCGGGAAATTCATCAAACTGCCGATTTTCATTTTATGCCATTATTTATCAGCCGCAGCTGCTTTAGCGACTAAATTTCTCAATTTTAGTGAATTACTTATTTCACTTAGTTATTCTTCTATACAATTTTGACAATGTGTCCTTTCGCGACAGGAGGAAACGTGTGATACTTCGGCCTCAGCGTCAATCTTGTGAAACACAATATATTACTTACGAGTAATATGCATTTTAAAATCAAATATCATTTGATCTTCACAATGTGTCAAGCTTTGGGTGTGAAAACTAAATTAGATTAAATGAACTTCACTGGGCAAGACTTAATGCTTATTTTGGCTTTAAGCACCGTTAATGGTAGAACCATTTATTCATTCACCGGTTCATCTATTCGCCATTGCATTACAAGTTTCTTGTTTCCATCCACCCTTTGGCTTGCGATTTGGCTGCTGCCAACACGAGTTGTTTGCTCAAGTAAGGTTTACCCTTTTCTGACACAAGATTGTGTTTAGTTGCCTTCCTCCTTTCATTGCACCACCAACCAGATTGCTTCCTCCTTCGAGCAGATTGCAGTTGAACCCGTCTTCGTCCAATCGCCTTCTTCCGCCTCCCTCCGACATGTCCACACCGCCCAAATTTGTCGCATTCACTCTCCCTCGCAGAATTGTCGTCCTGTCGACTGTATCTCGCCTTCATAACGGCTCCACCTGCCTTCACTTTCGCCCACACCATCACGCCCCCTCCCGACGGCAACTCATGCCACGTACACTCCAGTCCTTCGTCTGTGTGTGTCTGTGTTGTGTGTGTGTGTTGTGTGTGTGCATTGGCATACTCGTTCGCATGTGGAGATTGGTGACCTGGGCCAGCAAGACTTGGCGACCTGCAGAACGAAACCGCTTCGGCAGCAACACTGCTGCAGCTACTACACCGTTGCCATGGCGACTCGGGAAGTAGAGGCGTTTAGTTATTCGGCCGATGTTGGGATGGCGGCAGGCGCAGGGAGGGTCGGACAAAGGGGGATGGGCATGCTCTTGAGCAAATTAACCTGTCTTCACACACCATACATGTAGGCGACATGCTTAAAATAAATAACCGCCTGCTCTCTTTTCACATATACAACACACACACACACACACACACATGCATACATACACACCATCTCTCAACTTTACTTTGTAATAAGGGGTTTTCTGCTTTTTATTGCGTGATTGGCAAGAGGCTCGAGAAGGACCCATCACGCCGGCGTGACATGTTAAATTGCAACTGATTTCAACTCAACCTTTTCTCTATCTCTCTCTCTTTTTCTCTCTTTCTCTCTTTCTCTCTCTCTCTCCTCCATTTGGATCTATTTGTTTATCTCAACCTTTATTACTTCAATTACAAGCACGC